AGAGAGAGAGCGAGCTCGCGCGCGAGAGAGAGAGAGAGCGAGCGAGCTCGCGCGCGAGAGCGAGAGAGAGAGCGAGCGAGCTCGCGCGCGAGAGAGAGAGAGAGCGAGCGAGCTCGCGCGCGAGAGAGAGAGAGAGAGCGAGCGAGCGAGCGCGCGAGCGAGAGAGAGAGAGCGAGCGAGCTCAGCGCGCGAGAGAGAGAGAGAGCGAGCGAGCTCGCGCGCGCGAGCGCGCGAGAGAGCCCGAGCGCGAGCGAGCGAGCTCGCGAGCGCGAGAGAGAGAGAGAGCGAGCGAGCTCGCGCGCGCGAGAGAGAGCGAGAGCGAGCGAGCTCGCGCGCGAGAGAGAGAGAGAGAGCGAGCGAGCTCGCGCGCGAGAGAGAGAGAGAGCGAGCGAGCTCGCGCGCGAGAGAGAGAGAGAGCGGAGCGAGCGCGCGCTCGCGAGAGAGAGAGAGAGCGAGCGCGAGAGAGAGAGAGCGCGCGAGAGAGAGAGAGAGCGAGAGCGAGCTCGCGCGCGAGAGAGAGAGAGAGCGAGCGAGCTCGCGCGCGAGAGAGAGAGAGAGCGAGCGAGCTCGCGCGCGAGAGAGAGAGAGAGCGAGCGAGCTCGCGCGCGAGAGAGAGAGAGAGAGAGCGAGCGAGCGCGCGCGCGAGAGAGAGAGAGAGAGAGAGAGAGCGAGCGCGCACGCGCGAGAGAGAGAGAGAGAGAGAGAGCGAGCGCGCGCGCGCGAGAGAGAGAGAGAGAGAGCGAGCGCGCGCGCGCGAGAGAGAGCGAGCGAGCGCGCGCAGCGCGCGAGAGAGCGAGCGAGCGAGCGCGCGAGCGAGAGAGAGAGCGAGCGAGCGCGCGAGCGCGCGAGAGAGAGAGAGAGGCGCGCGCTCGCTCGGAGAGAGAGAGAGAGGCGCGCGCGCGCGCTCGCTCGGAGAGAGAGCGAGCACGCGCGCGCGAGAGAGAGAGAGAGAGAGAGAGAGCGCGAGTGTTAGCCTGCTTGTCACATGTTCGTCAACATCTCTGCTAATATTGCATCCCGCAATTGAAACTTGACCTGTCAGTATATCTTGAGAGTTTGCATAGTTAGTTCATTATTCCTGGCTGCCACCCCGACCTGTCACACACCCGTGGCCAACACCACAGAGGGGGCCAGTGCCAGACTATGCCGCCACCACGAGTGCCACTTGGCCGACACTGTAGGGTGGGTGGACCTGATAACTCCCTTCACCACTGCCCCCGTCCTGGTTGATACCTGGTTGATGGGGTTCTGGGAGTTCTTCTACTCCCCAAGCCCGGCCCGAGGCCAGGCTCAACTTGTGAGAGTTTGGTCCACCAGGCTGTTGCTTGGAGCGGCCCGCAGGCCCACATACCCACCACAGCCCGGTTGGTCCGGCACTCCTTGGAGGAATAAATCTAGTTTCCTCTTGAAGATGTCCACGGTTGTTCCGGCAAGTCCGGTAGACCTAATCTCACGCCACATTATTTTTCATTGTATTATTATTGTATGTATGTATTGTGTATTGTATTCATTATTTTTCATTGTACATTTACCAGATAGGTTGTTTATTGGGAAACCATGAGTGAAGCGGGTAGATAGGCCTACCAAGGGTCTGAATAGGCCGCCTATCTCCTGTTTTGCTGGTACTGTAGTAACTGTGTGGACCGTCGTACATTTATTGACGTTATGGACAGAAAACTAGAATTTGGAACTATTGGATTTGAACAAACTGGAAAAGGTTTTGTATTTATGCTGGTGATAAAACTAGCCTAACAATCCCAAGAACGTGGAACAAGAGAGAGAGAAGACTATACAACCAGCGTGGAACAAGACTATACAGCCAGCGTGGAACAAGACTATACAGCCAGCGTGGAACAAGAGACTATACAGCCAGCGTGGAACAAGAGACTATACAACCAGCGTGGAACAAGAGACTATACAGCCAGCGTGGAACTAGAGAGAAGACTATACAGCGAGCGTGGAACAAGAGAAGGCTATACAGCCAGCGTGGAACAAGAGAGAAGACTATACAGCCAGCGTGGAACAAGAGAAGGCTATACAGCCAGCGTGGAACAAGAGAAGGCTATACAGCCAGCGTGGAACAAGAGAAGGCTATACAGCCAGCGTGGAACAAGAGAGAAGGCTATACAGCCAGCGTGGAACAAGAGAGAAGGCTATACAGCCAGCGTGGAACAAGAGAGAAGGCTATACAGCCAGCGTGGAACAAGAGAGAAGGCTATACAGCCAGCGTGGAACAAGAGAGAAGGCTATACAGCCAGCGTGGAACAAGAGAGAAGGCTATACAGCCAGCGTGGAACAAGAGAGAAGGCTATACAGCCAGCGTGGAACAAGAGAGAAGGCTATACAGCCAGCGTGGAACAAGAGAGAAGGCTATACAGCCAGCGTGGAACAAGAGAGAGAGAGAAGACTGACACAATCCAATTTTCTTCAATATCTACTACATATTTGGTTTATCTATCTAACTCTCAGGTACGCATTTTACTGATAGGTGACCAGAGGCATTAAGTGAAAGAAACTACCCAGTTGTTTCCTCCTCAACTGGAAATTGAATTATGATCCCGTGGTCTACGAGTTAGGAACGCTGTCCGCTCGGCCGCGAGGACCTTTGTTATTACCCAAGTGTAGTTATCGGATGGGAGCTTCGCTCGTGGTGTCCCGTCTTCCTAGTACTCTTTGTCGTGTATATTCACCTAGTTGTGCTTGCGGGGGTTGAGCTTCGGCTCTTATGGGTACTGGGTGTACACCTGTGTGTGTTCTGTTATTGTTGCTGATGTTGTTGTTGTTGTTAGGGGTGACCTTGGGTAGTAAGGGGCAAGGACATTCAGTGTTTACCAGATGGTGGTGTTGGGCAGCTGCCAGACAACAGCTGTACACACACACACACACATGCACCGTAGAGTACCCACACCCGCTACCTTGCCCCTCCTTACTGCTGCTGTAACTCTCCTTACTGCTGCTGTAACTCTCCTTACTGCTGCTGTAACTCTCCTTACTGCTGCTGTAACTCTCCTTACTGCTGCTGTAACTCTCCTTACTGCTGCTGTAACTCTCCTTACTGCTGCTGTAACTCTCCTTACTGCTGCTGTAACTCTCCTTACTGCTGCTGTAACTCTCCTTACTGCTGCTGTAACTCTCCTTACTGCTGCTGTAACTCTCCTTACTGCTGCTGTAACTCTCCTTACTGCTGCTGTAACTCTCCTTACTGCTGCTGTAACTCTCCTTACTGCTGCTGTAACTCTCCTTACTGCTGCTGTAACTCTCCTTACTGCTGCTGTAACTACACCTGTACTTTGTATCCCTTTTGGCTTTCCTATCTTTTTTTTAACCAACATCGGTATCTGTGAAATTTCAGCCGATGCGTTAGTGTTTGTTATATGACCTTGTCTCTCTACGTTCTGCACGCGTCAGAAAATGTCTAGGTTGAACATTTCAGGGAAGCCACAGGGGGCTTTACGGCTGAGTGGACAACGCTCGGGATTCGTAGTCCTGGGGCCTGGGGGATCGATCCTCGGCGGAGGAGGAAATAAATGGGCAGAGGTTCTTTCCCGGAGGGATAAGTTGATTGATTGACAGTTGAGAGGCGGGCTCAAAGAGTCAGAGCTCATCCTCCCGCAAGCACAACTAGGCGAGTACAATAATAATGGGTGAAGATTATCAGCCCAAGTTTTACCGCGTCCGTGGCTGTGGCATTAGCAACACTCATTGGTCATAGGCATCGGTCTGCTGTATTGGAGGAGGTCACCATCAGGTTTGTCTCCCAGTGCCGTCTTCCTCAGGGACTGTGAAGTCGGTGTTGTGTGTTCCCCGCGCTACTGGGTCTTGGTGGGGAGGTGGAGACTCAACATCGTAATCGTCTCCGTACCAGAGTTTAAGATTTATCTGTCTCTCTTTGTCTCTCACCCCCCTTCCCCCTTCTTCCATGCCGTGTTTAGCTGACCCACGTGGTGTA